TTTGAATCCATACCCGAGCGTCGTCGACGCGCGTGGCTGGCGTCATGGTGCGCACACGTTCCAGGCGTCAGCATGACCGTGCCATGCCCGTCACTTGACCATCCGTCGACGCCCGTCCGGCTACATCCGCACGATTTCGATTGCTCTTCAGAAGTGTGCCCGGTCATTCACTCGAATTGGCTAGTCATCGCTCAGAATCCAGGCTCGGTTCAAAGCGAACTTGAAGGGTCTCGTGACCCGAGGGCTATGACTGTGGGGGGAGAGCACGTGGCAATTTCATATTGAATTGTTACATTGAGCGGAACGACATTGATCGAGCTAGGCTTGAGCACGTGATGTACGCCAAAGCTCGGCCGAACTTCTCACAGCGCACGCAAAATTCCCGGAATTTGGCTGTTAGTTTGGACCCAGGCAGATTTCTCGTTGCGAGCAGAACCAGAAGGACTCGCGCCCGCGCACCACCTCCCGTCTTGTCTCCTCACCATCAAGATCCCCCTCCATCTCGACCGTCACTTCATCACGATGCCTGCTGCTGCCAAGCCCCAGACCACCAAGGCCACTGCCGCCAAGAAGGCTGCCCTTAAGGGCACCCAGGGCACCAAGACCCGCAAGGTGCGCACCGACACCACCTTCCGTCGCCCCAAGACCCTCGACCTTGCCAAGGCGCCCAAGTACCCCCGCAAGGCCGTCCCCCACGCCCCTCGCATGGATGCCTTCCGCACCATCCTCTACCCTCTCAACACCGAGTCGGCCATGAAGAAGATCGAGGAGAACAACACGCTCGTCTTCATCGTTGACCGTGCTGCCAACAAGCGCCAGATCGAGGGTGCTCTCAAGAAGCTCTACGACGTCTCGGCCGCCAAGATCAACACGCTCATCCGCCCCGATGGCAAGAAGAAGGCCTTCGTCCGTCTCTCCCCCGACCAGGACGCCCTTGACGTCTCCAACCGCATTGGCTTCATCTAAACCACTCGCCTTTGGCGTTGCGGTCTAGACCACAAAAGGAGGNGGCAAGAAGAAGGCCTTCGTCCGTCTCTCCCCCGACCAGGACGCCCTTGACGTCTCCAACCGCATTGGCTTCATCTAAACCACTCGCCTTTGGCGTTGCGGTCTAGACCACAAAAGGAGGTCTCGACCTCCATACTCCATCCCACCATCCCCGAAAAACTCGCTGCAAGCATCGCTCGACCTTGATCGCTCAAGTTGACGACTCGAAGCGTTACTCCCTTCCTACGGTGTAATCTTACTGGTTTTACCTTGGCCTTTTCTCTTTGCCAGCCACCATATATCCCGGCCAGATGTCGTATCTGTGCCATGTTTTCCTCTATACTCCCCGACCCAAACGTCCACCAGAGCGTCCTCGCAAGCCTCGAATCAGGCTTTGGGTCAACCCCCTCCCCCTTTCCTTCTTCCTCTACACCGCTTTCACTCTGCGCACGATTTCGTTTGGCCACAGTCGCACACGCACACGCGCGGCCGAGTTCCCATGGGGACAAGGTTGCGACCAGGTTGGCGTGGACGGGCCGATGTTGCGCGTGGGATATTGGGGTGTCGGGAAGAGGGATAGGGGTGGGGGGTGTCGTGCAGTGTGTGTGCGCGGTTGCCTTGTCGCCTTGAGAGCATGGTGAGTGTGCGTGCACAGGGAATGCTTCCGAGATTGCCCTGGTCACCACGATTGAGTTCGATGAGTGAGATCGCTTTCCTAAGCCAGCACAGCCGTTGCAATTCATCTTTCTTTCGCCTTTCTTTGACACACGCGTTTGAACACTCTCTGAACCTTTTCATTTGCAAAGCGAGCCGAACAGCGCGGCGAGGACAGAGAGTGTCCGAATGTTGCGGCAATCTGATTGAGATGCTTCGAGACCGCAACTACAGCATTGCGTGAAGTTTCGATGTGGCAAGATCTGCTGGGTGAGTGAAATCAGGGCCAGGTGAAGTGGTACACCCACTCGCCCGCGCCAACGTACAGATCCTTGAAGGCGCCAAGCTCTGCTGGCTCTTCTTGCCGCGTTATGCGTGGATGCCACAGCAACGCCGTCACGTCCTTTGGGAAGACGCACGCCCCGAGCGCATCTTGCCTTTCCATCACTCGGCCTTCGCCATCCTCGTGCGCTTGTTTGAAGTCCGTTTCCACTGACTCGTCATCCAGCCCGTCAAACTTTGGAGCAGAGATCTTGGCTGCTGACGCCTTGAAGGGTGTTGGCAAGTCGAGCGACCAGACACGCACGCGGCCGTCGAGCCCCGCCAAGGCCATGACGCGCGTCTCGGTATCGAGAGCGAATCCGAGGTCAAAGTGGTACGAGTTGACGTGACCGTCGAACGTCCGAATCGTGTCGCCGGCCGGGGTGACGAGTGAGACCTCGCCCGTGATGCGCACGACGAGCAATTCGCGACTGGAAGGCGCCGCGAGGTTGGTCACGGATCCGTGCCCGACAAGAACAGTTCTAGCGGCTGTGAGCGCATTGGAGGTAAGGCTCCAGGCAGTAACGACCCCCGAGCGAAGGCCGGCGTAGAGGAAGCGTCCAGTCGGATCCGGCGTGATCGCCATAATGTCACTCTGCTGCGTGATTTGCGCGACATGCTGCACGCAAGCCGACATCTGCGTGTGCGCAAAGGTGAGCATATAGACTTTCCTGCCCGCTGCTACGGCGAGGATCGACGCATCCTCCGAGCCCCCCTCTGGGGAAGCAAGGAGACATGTTGCCCACGCCGCCGAGCCATGCAGCTTGACTGCCACTGGCAAACTGAAGACGACTACCTCAGGCGCCAAGAAATCATAGCCACCTAGCGCGCCTGCAAAAGTGATGCGTCTAGCATGGCTCAATACGCCGTCGTTGAATGCTGCGTAAAAGCTTTGCGAGGGGCCGTGCCAGACGTGGCCTGGCCCAAAGCCATTCGGGTCGTAGACAAGCCCGTACTTGCGCGAAAATTGCGGTGTTTCCAAGACGCCGACGAGGTCTGAGTTTGTGTTGCTCACGAGCAGAGTATTCGAATGTGGCTCGGTGGACATGGACGCAATGGTGCACGGTCGCCGGAACAACTTGAAAGGCCGCAAGACTCGGGTCAGCGCTAACTGCGAGTAGGCAGCTTCGGCCAGCTGGTATGCGTGCTGCCGTGTTGCGGCTACCGAGCTCCGTGCTTGCTGACGCTGTGCCACAGGATCCCATCCTCTTTGTCTAAAGGCACTCCCACCGACGTCCGGACCCGAGGCGGCAGTGGGGAGCGGCGGCAATGGCGGTCGTGGCGGTTCTTTCTTCTGCTTCTCCGTCTTGCGCTGCTTCGAACCCCGATGCCTTGATCCTGACCCTTGTGCGCCTGAGCTAGAACCTGACGTGGAAGTCGTTGGGCCCGGAAGGATCCTGAAGAAGCGCTTCTTCTCCGGGTCCCACCGGTGGCCCGGCATATCAAATGGCGCCTCTGCCATGGCTACCACGACGTCGCAACGTCCATTTGCGAGGGTATGCCAAAGCTCGCGGTTGTAAGATGCGCAGCACTTTCTTGGTCTCTATCGTGCCGTCTTTCTACTTGATCGCGATGGCAAATGTAAAGGAGCCAGAGCCAGGAACCAGCTGGTTTGGTGGTGAAGGAGGATGCTGGTCGAGGGCGCGGTGGATGTAACTCCGGAAGGCATGAGCGAATATCTGCAGCGCCACAGCTCGGTGAAGGTTAACACGGGACCCTATGGTCCCCGCATCAGGCTGAATCGGATCGCTCTGGCTCGCTGAAAGCTACCTATGTGGTAGGCGTAGAAGAAGTTGAGTAGCGGATTGACGCTTCGAAGCCAAAATTTGGCGCAGCTGCACACTTTCCGCTGTGGAGGTGTTGAACCCGGCTCCCGTTTTCCGGCTCCCGCTTCCGCTTCCGCACCGCCTGCTCCTCCTGCCGCTCTACCCTCGTCCTTCGGCCACTCGACCACCGCTGCACTCGCATGGGCCTACTCACACCACGCCTTTCACAACGAGCAGCACACTAAGATCCGAAAGAGACGGGACATTCATTCCGGGTATCATGCAATCTTTCCGTGCTGAGCCGCCATTTACCTGCGATCGCGAGCCCGTCCCCTGGCCTCCTGCTCATGCTCCGAATCCGACGGTGTTGGCGCGCTCTTTATCGCCGCAACGCCCGCTGCGCCTGCTGGCGGAACACCCGGAGCTGGATTGGCGCTGCTATCGCGCATCCTCGACCTGCTTCTCGACCTCTGCCTGCCCAGGATCTGGGCGAGCGCATCGGGCGCCCTGGATCTGCTGCGTGCAGTCGACGATCGCTGTGCCTGCGTGTGATCGGCCATGATCGGCGCCACGGTCGGCTGCGGCTCGACGCTCCTGCCATACAGCAAGCTCCCCGGCGCACCGGCCTCGTGCGACAGCGAGTAGTTCGACCTCGACCTCGAGATGGATCGATGGTGCGCAAAGCGCTCGGGCGAGCCACTCTCGCCGCTGTGCCGACTGCGGCTCCTCGAGCCACTCCTTCCGCGGATCGCGATGGGGCCCGTGCGATGCAGAGAGCCCGCCACATGCGAACCGGCGCGACTGTCGCTGCTCGTGTCATCCTCGCCGTTCCAGGTGGTGTTCTCGTCCAGATCCGCCATCCTCGATCTGGGCAGCCGACCACGTCGCTCGGACTCGGCGGGACTGTCGCAGCGCTCCTTGCTGGCACTGTGCACCCACGCGTGGCTTATCGAGTTGAGCGAGCTGCCGAGATGGTGTGCCATCCACGCCGGGTCGCGCTCGCGGTTGGGCGTCGAGCTGCCGCTCACGTCGGTGCTGCGCGTGCGGCTCGAGTCGCGATGCACCACCGAGATGCGCGACGTCGAGCGCGAGCGGCGCTGCGCACCCGCACCGTCGTCGGCCGAGATCGAAGGCGTCAGCGCTGGCGATGCACTTCCCGAGCCACCGGTTGCCAGCTTCTCCGGCCGTGTGCGAGCCAAGCTCGATGACCGGCGTCCACGCTCGGTGTGCTGGAACTGTTCGTCCACATTCGCCCGGTCAAAGCTCGGCGCTGCATGCGACTGGCTCGCCGTCTCTGCTAAGCTCGAATTCGACTTGGACGCCGAGTTGGCCCAAGCGCGTCGCTCGGCAAAGACACTAGCCGCACCATCCGCAGCACCTGCCGCCGTCGCCAATGACGTCGAGTGAGCGTTGCGGACCGCCGACGCGTTATTGAGCAGCGAGGCGGGCGGAGCCATGGCGGCCAGATTGCCCGACTCGCCGCCCTCCTGTCTGATCCAGGCGCTGGCACACAGTCGATCGATTGTCCACCTTCTGCGCGGGTCCGGCTCCAGCAGCCCACGAAGCACCTGCCTCGCCGCAGCGCGGTCCCAGCTCAGCCCGTCCCAGGCAGGATCGACATCGGAGTCGTCGTCCGACTCTGGATCTTCCTCGACGTCGGCGCGGGCCTTGGCGACACTGTTGATCTCGAAGCTCTCGACGTGGTCCGCCCTGCCTGGCGCCGAGCCGACCACCTGATTCGAGTGCACCGCCACCATGCGTCTCGACAGCGCGCTGGTCGCTGGCTCCGTCGCCTGCCTCTCGCGCGGCAGCAGCGACGGCAACGAGGCGCTGAGATCCATGGTGCCTAAGCTCGAGGGACCATGCGGTGCGCCGGAGGCACTGCGGCGTTGGCTGAAGGCGAACCGATCCGCGACGCTGGCGGGCTCGACGGAGCCGGCGCGGTCGACCAAGCTGTTGCGGTTCGACACGCTGCGCTGCGACACGAGCGTGCTGGTCGACGCAGCAACGAGCCGCTCGGCGCGCCGCCTGAGTCGCGGCGGCAACTCCCACTGCGCCTTTGCGATCTTCATCTGGAGGCGCGGCTCGAACGAGTCGGAAAAGGGCAGCTTGCCGCTGAGCAGCGCATAGAGGATGCAACCAAGCGCCCACATGTCGGCGGCGAACGGCGACTCGGTCGGCAGCTCGTCATCATCGGCCAAGTCGTCTGGCGTGCGCGGGCTGGTCGAGCCCGACCTGCCCTGGGCACGCAGATACTCGGGCGCAGTATACGCTAACGAGCCGCCGCGACCTGTCCTCTGCGCGTTCCTTGGGCCCTTGGGCTCGTGCGCAGCCTTTGCCTCCTCCTTGAGCGCGCGAATCAGAGCCGGAGCAGCAGGAACCGCGCTCTTGGCGTGTGCAGGATCGATGACCTGCGCGAGGCCAAAGTCGGCGAGCCTCCAGCAAGGCATGACGGCATCGGTGACATCAAAGGTGTGGCGCGACGAGACGGACGAGGCGGCGAGCGAATCGATCGAGTCGGCAAGGCCAGCGCTGTTCTGCCTCGAGCGAGCCTCATCTCCGTCGGACTGGAGCGTCGACATGCGCTGGCGCTTCTTCCACGACGACTGATCCTGGCCGAGCACGTTTTCGAGCTTGAGGTCGCCGTGCAGCACGTGGCTCTTTGTGTGGAGCGCGCTGAGTGCAGACGCGAGCTGGCGCATGGTTTCGCGCGCTGCATCGAGGGGAATGCCTTGGCTGCGCGAGGTGCGGCTGGTGGTTCTGCGGATCAATCTCGAGCCGCTCGACGCGCTGCCCGCCGCCGAGACGGGCGACGATGCCAACGAGGACGACGGTTCTTGCCCCGCGGGGATGGTGCGCAGCTGCGACGCCGCCGACACGGAGGCGACGCGACCGAGCGCATGCGAGCCAAGATTGCGCGGAAGCATGAAGCCCGATCCGGTCCTGGAGCCCGACTGGCGCCAAGCGGGATCGTCCATGGACGCCTTGAGCGACGAGCTCCTCGAGAGCTGCATTGACGATCGCGCCGAGCCTGGGGCGATCCACGAGCCGGAACCGGATCTGCGGTCTTCTGCGGCTTGCATCTGCTCGCCGTTGGGCACGTAGGGCGCGGTGCCGACGGCGCCTTCGCTGCGCACAAAGTCGAGCAGGTTGCCCTGATCGCAGTAGGGCATGATGAGCAGCTCGGCGAGCGCACCGCCCGAGGCGTGGGTGGGGCTGGCATGGTGGGCATCGATGGGGAGGCACTCGTGGTGGAGCAGCGGAAGCAGATGCGGATGGACAGGCAGGCTCTTCCAGATGTTCAGCTCGTGCGACTGACTCTGCGCGTGCGGCTGCTTGTTGGAGCCCGCTTCGCGCGCCGGCGAACCCTGCTGCGAGTCGTGGTAGACGATCTTGACGGCGACACGGCGACCTTTGCGCTGGCCATCGATGAGTGGGGCGGTAGGATCGGGCGGCCCTTGCGCATCAAGGTCCCAGCCCTCGCGCACAGTGGAGAATCCGCCAAAGCCGATGGTCTTTCCTAGAAGGTATCGGCCTGCTGGGCCGACGCGCGCGCCCTCATCATCGCACCGAGGCGGCGGGTTGGGAGCGGTGGTGATCTGAGTGTCGTATAGCATGGCAGCGGCGCTTCCGAGACCGCGAAGGGAGGCGAATCCAGGAGCTGCGGCGGAGCCGTTGCGCACGTCGTCGCGCATGAGGGAAGCGCCGAGGCTGCGATGTCCCGCACGTGGCGGAGAGTAGGAGAGCGAGCGAGCGTCGTACGAGTTGGCGGGCTGGACGACGCTGTTGAGGCTCGAGAAGGCGCTGAGGAAGTCGGCGGCTGGTGAGCGCACGACGGACGACGACGATTCGGGCGAGAGCACGGTGGGAGAGGTGAAAGTAGAGTTGGCTGCAGACGACGACTCAGCCGGGCGCATATCGGTGCGCAGAGGAGGGAGCGAGTCGGGGCCAGCCACCTGCTTGGCGGTGGAGGCAGGGTTGGCATCGGCGTCGGGTGTGGCAGCCTCGCTACGTTCCCACCACATGCGCACTTTGGAGCCAACCGAGGTGTCCTTCTGCGGGAGTACGGCGGAGCTGACGGCTGTGGATGAGGACGGATGTTGGTCGGACTGCGCTGCCGAGCTCCTACGCCGCCTGCCGCGCCGTGGATCGTATTGCTCGTCGATACTGTCTGCATGCTGGTCGGAGTCATGCTGCGGCGGCGGTGGCGGATGGGAGGATGTGCGACCGGTATCAGAGTTGGAGTTGTTGCGCGAGTCGGAGCGGGTGAGGTTGGCGATGGAAGCAGAGTTGGAGAGGGAGGCGGAGGCTTGTTGGGACGGGGGCGAACCGATGCCAAGGCGTGCTGCGGCTACGCTGCTAAGGTCGAAGGAGTTGTGCCAGTCGTCGACGGAGAGGGAGGCGCTGAGGCCGCTTGGGTCGAAGAGAGGCACGTCATCCTCGGAGGGAATCTGAAGCGGTTCAGCCTTTGGAGGCTGCATGCGTCAGCCGAGAGACGGCGGAGGAGTGCGCAGGCGTGGACGGCGGTAGGGAAGGAAGCTGGATGTAGCTGTGCGTTTAGCAGAGCGTGCGCCACGGAGCGAGGGAGGTGCAGAGCTGATGGCGCGAGTGCGAGTGCGTGCGCGGGCGATGGTGGTGGTGGACTGTAGCGGAGCGCGGCATGAAACGAACCAGAAGATGTCAGAGCGCCAAGAGCCGAGTGGGGCCGAATGCCAGACTTTTAGAGAGGGTATGATGGACGGTACGAATGCTGGATCTAGAGGCAGACTACCACCATTGGGGCTGATGAGGTGGGCGGATCGATTCGGGAGATGGCGGAGCAAAGGCAGTGTGAAGTGGGGGAAACAGGGATGTGGAGTCAGAGGGCGAGTGGAAGCGCAGCCACCTCTGGCAACCGCCGTGACTGCGAAGAGGCCACCGCGGAGAGGGTCGGCCAATTTGACGGGCTCCTTTCCAGCCTTTGTGCTTCACTGCTTGGCCCTGCCTGGCCCTGCTTGGCCCTGCTTGGCCCTGCT